GTTAGTTAATCCTTAGAAGGCCTGGCAGAGAGCAGCAGGAGCCATCTTAGTTAAGGGAAAGCTCCAGTGCAGAGAGGGGGAGTGGCCTAGGCCTGAGCCAGCCCTGAAACAGCCAGGATTGGTTTGTTAAAGGGGGGCGGAGTTAGACTGTTGGAGGGAAAGTAAGAAGCTTATTTGAGTCAGTTCAGTTCAGTTCAGTTCAGGTTGATGTTAGAGTTAGAGCAGGATTAGAGAAGCTTGTAGGAGTTCCTTGATTAGAATAGGCAGTTTGCCTGAAGTTTGCACAGTGAAGTAGGCTGTGGCAAACTGGTTACAGCTATTCAGGAAAGGAATAGCTGGGTTTAATAATAGTAACAAAGAAAGAACCATTCTCTCATGCAACCGTTACGCTTCTAAGAACAAGAACACTTTAATTGTAACAGCCAAGCTTATGAAACTGCATTTTCTTCATTCTGTAACTTTTACTTCAATAAACTTTCCTTGTTATTTTTGAACCTTAAGCCTGAGTCAAGTGCCACTTGTGGATTTAGTCCCTTTTCTTTTTAATTCAACCTCACCTGTTTCCCTTTAGAGAAACCCTTCTAAAAGACACAATACTTGGTGGTCTAAAAAGCCTCTTAACATTTTAAATAGCTAGAGGGTTCCTGTTCATTTGATTTATGGTGGCAGCGAAGGTTTAAATAAAGAGACATCCCCTCAAGTGTTATCTAGGTGCCAAAGTGGTGTGAATTCCTTATTAAAGGAGGGACAGTGGTGGGATACTTTGACCCCCTGCCCAGTCGGCCATTAAGAGGAGGTTATTATACCCAGCTCCTTAAGCTGCTCCTCATAGGGCTTGTTCTCCAGACCCTTGATCATTTTAGTCGCCCTCCTCTGGACACATTCCAGCTTGTCAACATCTCTCTTCAATTGTGGTGCCCAGAATTGGACACAATATTCCAGTTGTGGTCTAACCAAGGCAGAATAGAGGGGTAGCATTACTTCCCTAGATCTAGACAATATGTTCCTATTGATACGGGCCAAAATCCCATTGGCTTTTTTGCCACTACATGACATTGTTGGCTCATGTTTAACTTGTTGTCTATGAGGACTCCAAGATCTTTTTCACACGTACTGCTCTCGAGCTAGGTGTTCCCCCATTCTGTATCTTTGCATTTCGTTTTTTCTGCCTAAGTGGAGTATCTTGCATTTGTCCCTGTTGAAGTTCATTTTGTTAGTTTTGGCCAATTATCTCTCTAATCTGTCAATATCATTTTGAATTCTGCTCCTTCCCATTTTGATAAGACACTTCTATATCAAAGCGGCGTCATGGGAATTTTGAGAGTGGGCTTCTTTTGCGCTGTAATGGGGGGAACTGGCCAAGCATCCTGCTCCATCTATGCCCTTCTCTTGACTGCTCTACTATTTCTCTGCTGCTTGAAACTCACAAGCTTCCTCCAGTTTAAATCACAAACTGAACAACAGACCCATGAACATTTGAGTTAGTGTCTCCTTTAAAGAATTCCATCTTTCAAAAAACCAGCCAGCGAAATGATTCATTGCCTGTCACTTGCAAGCATGCATTATTTATAGCAGTTTCAAAACTGTTCCCCTTTCAGCATGTGTCTCCAGATTAGTTTATAAAGTGCCTCCTTTTGTCTAGTCACTCAAAGTAGTTAATCCTCTCCCCCCCCCCCCCCCCCCCCCCCCCCCCCCAATCCCCATCACATGTGGCAAAAGACTTTTGAGGATGTCTCCTCTTCTCCCAACCCATTCCAGGTTTGGTGATCAAACAAAAAATTGGAGACACCAACAACTACATTAAGCCAAATTCGGCACATGTTTAATGAGCTGCTCTTTGCATCCCTTGACTAGTCAGTTTCCAGAGTCAGCTCAAGTTATAGTTGCTGCCTGGCTTTCCTTTCCAATTAGGAATCCACAGAAAAACTTCCAGAAGGATTGCTTTCAAGTCATGGTTCCAATCATCTGTTTTTGATATTGCATCCAAATTCAACACCTGAGGAGAGGATTTCTCTTTGCCATGTTGAACGTCCTCCTCTTCACTGCCTGGCTGTACACTCCAGGATGGCCATTTCTTTTTAATTTGACAGAGTACGTGCATATACTAGCATTATAACAAATCATTTGAAAAAAATTCCTGATGGCATCCTGCCGTTTGGGGTAGTAGACTCTCCTTCATTGGAAGTATTTAAACGAACATTAAAAACAGAGGTTAGATCTCTCAGTGTGCTTTAGTGGAAGATTCAACTGGAAGAAAGTAGGAATTGATGAGTTTGGGAGCCCTTTCCAACTCTATCATTGAATAATTCTAGGATAAAATGATCAACTAAGTCCTCTTTTTTATGCGAAGGACCTGAGGAGCACAAAAACAGATGTGGTGCTTTCTTTGCCCATCCATCATCTAGTTCAGCGTTTCTCAACCTGGGGGTCGGGACCCCTGGGAGGGTCGTGAGAGGGTGTCAAAAGAGTCGCCAAAGACCATCAGAAAAACACTGTATTTTCTGTTGGTTATGGGGGTTCTGTGGCCTAATTCTATCTCTGATGCGGTTCAGAATGCTCTTTGATTGTAGGTGAACTATAAATCCCAGCAAATGTCAAGATCTATTTTCCACAAACTCCACCAGTGTCCGCATTTGGGCATATTGAGTATCTGTGCCAAGTTTGGTCCAGATCCATCCTAGTTTTACTCTCTGGATGTAGGTGAACTACAACTCCCAAACTCAAGGTCAGTGCCCACCAAACTCTTCCAGTATTTTCTGTTGGCCATGGGAGTTCTGTGTGCCAAGTTTGGTTCAGTTCCATCGTTGGTGGAGTTCGGAATGCTCTTTGATTGTAGGTGAGCTATAAATCCAAGCAGCTACAACTCTCAAATGACAACTCAACACCCCACCCTACCCCCCAAAAAAACCCTCACTAGTATTCAAATGTGGGCATATTGGGTATTTGTGCCAAATTTGGTCCAGTGAATAAAATACATCCTGTATATCAGATATTTACATTATGATTTATAACAATAGAAAATTTACAGTTATGAAAGTAGTAACGAAAATAATGTTATGGTTGGGGGTCACCACAACATGAGAAACGATATATAGGGGTCGCGGCATTAAGAAAGTTGAGAACCACTGATCTAGTTGGAGACTCAAAAGTTTTGTTTCTTATTGAGTTGTTTATTATTGTAAGGAGACATGTAGGGCCATTCCCTTGTTGTCATATTGAGTCATTTCCGATTTATAGTGGACTTAATGGAGACTGGGTTTCCTTGTCAATATTTCCTCAGAGCGTTTTTTTTTTTTTTTTGGCCTTCCTCTGAGGTTGAGAGTGTGTGATTTGCCAAAGGTCACCCAATGGCTTTCCATGGCCATGTGGGGATTCAAACCCTGGTTGCCCAGTTCCCAAGTCCAACACCTACAACCTAAAAATACAGTCAGAACTCTGGAATAGTTAGTGCTATTTCCATGGCCTATTTATTTATCATATCAGAAGTGAACCGAGGGTACAGTTGTAATGTATCTAAGAAACACAAAGTTTTTAAAATTTGGCGTTACACTAAATGTCCTTTGACCAGTAGCTGGCCACTTGGTGTTACTATAAGAAGGTCCTCCATTGTGCATGTGGCAAAGCTCAGACTGCATTTTAATAGGTGGTCTGTGATTTGCTCTTCTCCGCACTCGTATGTTGTGGGCTCCACTATGTGGCCCCATTTCTTAAGGTTGGCTCTGCATCTCGTGGTCCCAGACTACCTTCCAAGTTGTCTGGACTCTGTCACGTTGCCAGGGCTCTACCTTATTTAGGTAGAGATTAACCAAACTCCCAGTTTTATCAAACAGATTAATTAAAACAGCACTTACTTGCTGGCTGTTTTTATAGTCCAAAATATAAAACACAAAGATAGCTCACAGCTACAGAATAAACAAAAACTGATAGCAAAAATAACTTTGTAGTCATAAAGGTCCAATCCAATGGTCAAATGCCGAGAGTTCCATAAACAAAGTCCAGGGATCAAGAGTCTATACTATAGTCAAAAGCCAGTCCAAAGGTTCAAGGTTCCAGGATTCCAAGATTACAGGAGACAGGTCAGGATACCAAAAAATCCAACAGACCTGGGGGGGGGGGGGATCAGCAGCATCCACCACCAAAATACAACAGATACTTTTCTCCCAAAGATCAGTTCCAAGGCTACCTCCTTATATCCAGAAACACCCAGCTGCAACCCATCTCTTGCATACCTCCACCCTTAATTACTTTCACCCATGAACTGTTACTTACAAACTACTCAGCCCTTTAGAACCAAAATTTACATTAACCCTTCTATCACCAACTGCCAGGTCTACCACCACCAACCACCATCAACTATGGAACATATGACAGACTCTCGCTTGCTGAGTTGTTCCTACGAGTATCTCTGTAGTTCTTTGAAAAATATTTCTTGATTTAAGATGCTGGCGTGCTGGCTGATGTCACCGCCTTGGTCCTTTCTTTATTGGCTGCTACTTCCCGTACAAGAAAGGAGATTCCATCTGAACATGAGGAAGAACTTCCTGACTGTGAGAGCCGTTCAGCAGTGGAACTCTCTGCCCCGGAGTGTGGTGAAGGCTCCTTCTTTGGAAGCTTTTAAACAGAGGCTGGATGGACATCTGTCAGGGGTGCTTTGAATACCATATTCCTGCTTCTTGGCAGGGGGTTGGACTGGATGGCCCATGAGGTCTCTTCTAACTCTTTGATTCTATGATTCTATGATGTCAGGTGGTGCAATACTGGCTATACAGTATAATTTCTCCAGTGGTGTAGGGGATTGACATCCTGTGATAATGCGGCATGTCTCATTAATAGCCACATCCACTATTTTAGCGTGGTGAGATGTGTTCCACACTGGGCATGCGTAATCAGCAAAGCGAAATGACATATGTCTTCACTGTATCTGGTTGTGATGCCCTATGTCTATAATTCTATATTAATTTTTATTTGTGGCTAACTTTCACTCTTATTCTTTTGCTCAGATCTGAAAGGTGTGGTTTCAGCCAAGAATGATATCCGTGTTGAGATTGTTCATAAGGAGTCTGCCTCAGGCAGAGAAACCGAGGAACACCCAACGATCAAGCAGTTGATGGTGAGGATTTATTTTTCTCTTTCTTTAATCTGTTGTTCTGCCTAACCTTTGACAGTAATGAGTGCCGGCGCATGCGGTTCAGTGCACTAAAGCCCACTGACGGCAAATGCTGCTCTTCCCAAATCTCACGCGTCGCTCAGAGCTGCTAAAGAAGGAAAGAAAGGGGGAAAAAACCCTCCCAGAGTGCAACTTTTGCTAATGAAGATAAAAGGCCAGGAGAGGTTTGTTATTGCTGCTCAGCAAGCCGCCTGTAGGCTCTGATGAAAAGAAAGGTTTCCCAGCCCTTAATAATGAAATTGACGTCGCTGCAAATGGACATAAAGAAAGCTGGGCAACCTATTATTATTATAATAATCTAATTAGGCACTAATCACTAAGCCAGACTGAAAAGGCCTACGTGATACATACTGGCAAGATAACTATGCATCTCACACACACACACACCAACACATGCATGCAGACACATACCTCCGCCTTTCAAAGGAAAAGATCATTAGCCTCATTACTGTCAAACTGTCACAGCTCCCCAAATGGAATTGGAGTGACCCCAGGATAGTCACAGTCACCCCAGACTCTTCTTCAGAGACAGCCTTGGTGCCTGAGGCTAAAAATCTAAAAGACCATCTCTACAGTGGCTAAAAAAAAACTCCACCATAATACAGTATGTTAAAGAAACTGACAGATTATATACCTGACAGGTTGCTCGAAAACATGTGCTTTCAGCCTATTTCTAGAGCTGTCATCTCTTTATAACTTGGGGTAGACCAGGATTGGTCCTTCTGGGTCATCTGACAGCATACACCAGTGGCGTGATTCCATGCCTTTGCAAGGAGTTCATTCTGCCAGGGTCACTGTCAGGCCCCGATCCAAAATGCATGCTTCTTTCAATGGATAGATCCTAGAAGCGACGGGTAAATCTGGCTTTCTAGCTGTTTCTCAGTCTCCAACTCCCAACAACCCTACATACTCGTTGCATTTAGGCAGCAGCTGATATTTTTGCAAACTCTAAAAGACTTGTTGCTGCAACTTACAAAGACTCTAGAAATCTCTGTGTTTAGTTAATTAGCATGCCTCCCAGTTGTGATGGCATGCCCGAGCCTTTGGGGAAAACGATAGAGTCTGGCTTTACTTGGGGGCTATCTGTATACCTTCTGTTAAGACTTAGATCCTTAACACACAGGATGAAAAGATAACCAAATGAGTTTACTGAATAAAGAGTGAACTCCATCTAGGACTATTATAAAGTAACTTAAAACAGTACATTACAAAAGGAGCCTTTGCTGGCTGCAGGCATCTCTCTGCAGTCTTCTGCCTCTGGTGCAAAACGATGGTTTACAAGCTGTTGCTTATAAGCTGTCTCTATCTTCTTTCTTGTGAAACTTAAGCTGGTCAAAATCTTCTGTTGTCACTGGGACTGGTGGTATAAGAATATTGCTGAATGCAGGTGCTAAGGATGCCTGTTGTGATTGCATGCCTTTGGGAAAAATGATAGTGTCTGGCTTTACTTGGGGGCTACCTGTATACCTTCTGTTAAGACTGAGATCCTTAACACACAGGATGAAAAGATAACCAAATGAGTTTACTGAAAACAAGAAGAATAAAGGGTTAACTCCATCCGGGACTATTATAAAGTAACTTCAAACAGTACATTACAAAAGGAGCCTTTGCTGACTGTAGGCATCTCTCTGGAGTCTTCTGCCTCTGGTGCAAAACGATGGTTTACAAGCTGTTGCTTATAAGCTGTCTCTATCTTCTTTCTTCTGAAACTTAAGCTGGTCAAAATCTTCTGTTGTCACTGGGACTGGTGGTATAAGAATGTTGCTGAATGCAGGTGCTAAGGATGCCTGTTGTGATGGCATGCCCGAGCCTTTGGGAAAAACGATAGTGTCTGGCTTTACTTGGGGGCTATAAGTATACCTTCTGTTAAGACTGAGATCCTTAACACACAGGATAAAAAGATAACCAAATGAGTTTACTGAAAACAAGATGAATAAAGGGTTGACTCCATCCAGGACTATTATAAGGTAACTTCAAACAGTACATTACAAAAGGAGCCTTTGCTGGCTGTAGGCATCTCTCTGGAGTCTTCTGCCTCTGGTGCAAAGCAATGGTTTACAAGCTGTTGCTTATAAGCTGTCTCTATCTTCTTTCTTGTGAAACTTAAGCTGGTCAAAATCTTCTGTTATCACTGGGACTGATGGTATAAGAATATTGCTGAATGCAAGTGCTAAGGATGCCTGTTTTTGGGTTTGCGTGGGCCTAGGGCAGTGTTTCTCAACCTGGGGGTCACAAAGGAGGTATCAGAGGGGTCGCCAAAGACCATCAGAAAACACAGTATTTACTGTCGGTTATGGGGGTTATTTATGGGAAGTTTGGCCCAATTCTATCATTGGTGGGGTTCAGAATGCTCTTTGATTATAGGAAAGCTATAAATCCCAGCAACTACAATTCCCAAATGTCAAGATATTTTTTAACCAAACTCCACCAGTGCTCACATTTGGGCATATTGAGTATGCGTGCCAAGTTTGGTCCAGATCCATCATTGCCCTTAGGTCTTGTGTTTGGGCCCAGAACCTCCAGGTCTTCAGACGATAGTGAACTGGCAATCCTTGTTATAGTTCAAAGGCATCTAGATAGCCACTGCCGCCTACTTCTGCTGTAGACAGATGCACAAGCTTTTGTTGACAATGAAGAAGGAAGAAGTGTTCATAAAAACGGGCTAAGGGCTGGGCCTCTGAGCACTTTCCTGATCTCTACTGTTGCTAATACACCAGACTGTAGAGAAAAGCTTTACCAGCCCCTCGTCACTGCTGTGTTCTGCATCCAAATGCCAGCATTGCTTTTTGCCTGCTGGTGTCACGTTCTAAATGACTAATACAAGCAAAACAAATGGAAAGGACAGTGAACCATAAAAAATAAACCCATCCAGCCATAAAAAGGAGAGAACAGAAGTGAAGGTGGGGAGTGCAGGGGAGGAGTAGATGGGTTTTGGGGTATGTTTAAGTGATTTTGCATCCATAAAGTCACTCACACACACACCACTGCTTCAGTTTCTCTACTGCCTTTTGTAATTATTCATTTCTTTGAGTTGGGAAGAATACTCTTCGAGTGATCAATGGAATTCCCATTTTGAGAGATACACTTTGCAGGGTGGACAGAATCAATTTTAGACAGTACATATGTACCAAATGAGACCCTTGAAATCGGTTTGAAAGGACAGTGACTGGCAGAGGCTTGAGATTGCTTGCTATTCCCCTGGTGTTGTTCTGGATTCTGAATTGCCGTCTTGTTTTATTTCGAAAGGCCTCCATAAGATAGATGTTTTAGGGAAGTTTATAATCTATTAGTTTTCGCTCAGCACTCAAAGAGAATATGGAAAATGAGAGAAGGAGGTTGGACTGAATGGCCCTTGTGGTGTTCTCCAACTCTATGACTGTGTTATATAGGGGCATCTTTAACTGTGAGTGGATATACACTACTTTATTCTTTTACTCCTTGTAAGGTAAAGGAAAAGGTTTCCTCTTGACATTAAGTCTAGTTGTGTCTATCTCTGGGGGGGGGGGGGCTCATCTCAATTTCAAATCCAAAGAGCTGGCATTGTCTGTAGACGCCTCCAAGGTCATGAGGCCAGCATGACCAGGGCCGGATCAACCCATTACGCAAAGTAAGCATTTGCAGTATAGTTGATTTTGCCCAGGGGCGCTCTTGAGGTGCTCTTGGGGGAAAATAGACCTTGACATATGCGAATTGTCGTTACTGGGATGTATAGTTTACCTACAATCAAAGAGCACTCTGAACTCCAACAATGATGGAACTGAACCAAATATGGCACACAGAACTCCCACGACGAACAGAAAATATATATCAGTGATTTGTTCGGAGGGGGGGGGGGCAAAATACTGTTTGCTTACCGTTGAAAATTGCCTAGGGCCACCTCTGAGCATAACTGCATGGAGCACCGTTACCTTCCCACCGGAGCAGTACCTATTGACCTACTCACATTTCATAGATTCATAGAATGTGAAGCATTATATATAAGATATTCATAGAACCGTAGAGCTGGAAGAGCCCTCATGGGCCATCCAGTCCAACCCCATTCTGCCAAGAAGCAGGAATATTGCATTCAAAGCACCCCTGACAGATGGCCATCCAGCCCCTGCTTGAAAGCTTCCAAAGAAGGAGCCTCCACCACACTCCGGGGCAGAGAGTTCCACTGCTGAACAACTCTCACAGTCAGGAAGTTCTTCCTCATGTTCAGATGGAATCTCCTTTCTTGTAGTTTGAAGCCATTGTTCCGCGTCCTAGTTCCCAGGGAAGCAGAAAACAATCTTGCTCCCTCCTCCCTATGACTTTCTCTCATGTATTTCTACATGGCTATCATGCCTCCTCTCAGCCTTCTCTTCTTCAGGCTAAACATGCCCAGCTCTTTAAGCCGCTCCTCATAGGGCTTGTTCTCCAGAACCTTGATCATTTTAGTCGCCCTCCTCTGGACAGATTCCAGGTTCTCAATATCTCTCTTGAATTGTGGTGCCCGGAATTGGACACAATATTTCAGGTGTGGTCTAACCAAGGCAGAATGGGGGGGGGGGGGATTACTTCTCTAGATCTAGACACTAGGCTCCTCTTGATGCAGGCCAAAATCCCATTGGCTTTTTTTGCCGCCACATGACATTGTTGGCTCATGTTTAACTTGTTGTCCATGAGGACTCCAAGATCTTTTTCACACGTGGCATTGTCCCCCATTCTGTATCTTTGCATTTCGTTTTTTTCTGCCTAAGTGGAGTATCTTGCATTTGTCCCTGTTGAACTTTACCTATTGATGTACTTTTTTGCCGCCACATGGGATTTTGGCCTGCATCAATAGGAGCATAGTGTCTAGATCTAGTAATGCTACCCCTCTATTCTGCCTTTCCATCTTTTTGAACTGCAGAAGCTGGAGCTAACAACAGGAGCTCACCTTGCTCCCCGGATTCGAACCACAGATCTTTTGGTCAGCAAGT